AAGCTCTGATGTGTTACAAAGAAATTTAAATTATTTGCGTCTCAGAATTTCCCGAAAATTATGGGAAAAGCCCCCCAAAATTCCGTTTTCAGCACGCCAGCGCGGGAGATCGATCTTTCGTCATGGAAATGCAAGTGAGTTTGTTTTCTTAATTTATATTTACTTTTTACAAAAAAAAAAAAAAAAAAATGAGCTGCATGAAATTATCATTTTTTTTGTTGGTGTAAGTAACATTCTCACTAAAACGAATTTTGCAAAAAAAGTAGAAAGATGGAAAAAAGAAGAATCTAAGAACGGTTATATTTACAGCGAGCTTATCTTTTAGTCAGCGAGCTTTGGCTACACTGAGAGAAATTTTGGAATGAATTTTATTTAATTTAATATTATTGAAATAAAAATAATTAGAGATTAGATGAGAATGAAAACATGAAAATATTTTAGATAAAAGAAAAGTTTTAAATACACTGAAAAAATATGTTTGAAAATTTTTATAAAGACTTGAAAAAAAAAAATTTTTTTTTTCCTTTTTAAATATGAAATGAACAACGCCAATTAACGAAATAGATTAACTTTATTTTCAATTTCGCCTGCCAAGATAATTGCCACGTTTGGGATAGGAATTTAAATTTTTGTTTAATTTTTTTTATTAATCAGGCCATTACTTTAATGATTTTAATATCTTCTAACATTAATACATTTTTTTTTTTATTCCTTAATATTTAGTTTTAAGTTATTGTTATAATTACTATATTGCTACCCCCTAATTTTGAATATTTGATTACAATCTTTGGTTATAATTTTCTATCGCACAAAACAAAACATGTATCTTTTAATTATTACCTTTTATAACGTTTGAAAAAAATAATAATATAATGAATAACTAAACTTATAACTGAACCACGCTGTTGTTTCTCAGACCCTAGGATGTGAAGGGATCCTCAGAGCCATGCTCGAGCGGAGAGGGTCGTAGGTTGGGTAGGGCATAGAGCGTACACATTCCAGCTGTGTATCGCAACCTTTCTTTTTATTTCTCACCTCTTTTTCTTTCCCTTTCTTCTGGTTTCTCTGAAACGGTCCTTCTGTTCTTCCGGTTATCGTTTAGCTCTAGATATTTTTACAGTTTTCCTGTTTGAGTATTTTTTTGTCGCTGCACGCTATTTTCGATTTCTAATTAATAATAATGTGTAGTTGTGTGGGATTCTGTACGGAGCAAGACCACCACCCCCAAGCCGACGAGCCCGAGCCGGAATAGTAAAGCGTGCCCCGCAAGTATAGAATCCCGGATTGATCACCACTACCGTTACACGTTACAGATAATTATTTATTATTAATTAAGAAAAAGTGGCGCCCAACGTGTGTGGCCTTAGTGAATAAATTCAAGTTCATTAAGACTCGCGAAGGACATAATTTCAGAAACTCTTTGATTTCTTCGTTACTTTAAAATTTCACCTTTCTAAATTTTCGATTGTGTTCGAATTCCTGGAATTCATGCCGAAAGAATATCAGTATTCAAAGCTGGCCGGAATTGGATCATTAAGCGGGAATTTCCTACCTCAAGCAGAAGTGACTGGAGTTTTCAGTCGCAGGAAAACAGATTTAAAAATCAAAACTTCGGTTGATTTTCTGTCCGCGATCGAAAAACCAATCACTGAGCTACTCAAACTGTTCTATGAAGGAAGTTATCGATGAACAAAGAGGAAAATACTGGCACAACTTGCGAGAAGTGTCGTATCCTATCTTCGTAACTTCTGAATCTAAATTCTTACTACTGGAAGGAAAACTTGTTTACACTGGAATACGAGTGTAAGAGTACACCGTCCAAAACTTAGGTAGAAAGAAAGGATTATCTTTCGAATAAGTTTAAGTCAATTTGAACGAATTTTCTTCCAAACTCCATACACCTTTTGAGAAATGTAAGAAAAGAGAATGTACATATCCTTGGGGACGAGAACAACAAGCTAAGGGTTCAGTTTATATAAATTTTATTGAGTTATATTTTTCTTTATTATATTGAGATATTTTTTTTTTCTCGTGTGTCACAGTTTTTGAGAATTATTTGAGTATGATGGGGTTAGATCGATCGCCGAATAGGAGAGTCGGAAGTGCCTCAAATTCTTTGTGTTCTATATGTCAAGTTGACATTAGTTCAGCAAACGCATATACAACAACATGTCAGCACGAATTCCACAGAGAATGTATCGAAGCTCATTGGAAGAACAGTGAGAAGTGTCCAGTTTGCGAATCGGCATGTAGAGCCACAGCATCTAAAACTGCCGAAAAAGTAGTTCGAGAAACTCGAAGTAGATCTAAAGCTACTCCGCCGGTTAATAATCCTTTAGATGAGGGACCTTCTACTTCAATACGAAGTTCTAGCAATAATAATACGAATTCAAGTATTATTACAGCCAACGCAGTCGCTTTGTTAGCCATGGAGCAGAGGATGTTAGCCACTCTCTCTGAGAAGATGTCTGAAATAATACAGAATGCTGTCTCGGAAAGTGTGAATCGAGTGACGCTCACACCAATTCCAGCTCAGCCCCAGCTCCAAGATCAGGTGCCAAGAGTTTTTGATAGAGTCGAAACTCCACGCTCTCCTGCTTCCCAACGCACGGTTGCATCTGAATTACTAACGCGGCCAGATAAAGTGGTCCACATTCTCAATGGTTGGAAAATTAAATTTTCTGGAGAAAGTATGTCTGTTGACAATTTTATTTATAGGGTCGAAGCCCTCACAAGGCAAATGCTGGACGGAAACTTTACCGTTTTGTGTAGGAACTGCAGTGTTCTATTCGAAGGGGAAAGCCAACGAGTTTTATTGGCGGTACCATAAGGCGTACGGTGAAATCTCTTGGGAGGATTTTTGTGCGGCCTTACGACTTCAATTCAGGCACAGTAGAGATGATAATGACATAGAGGAAATAATTAGAATGACTAAACAGAAACCAAACGAATCCTTCGATAGCTTCTACGACAACATTTCAGGACTAATTGATCAGTTAGAACAGCCCTGGGAGTCAAGTAAACTTGTCCGAGTACTTAAAAGTAATCTTCGTCCTGAAATTCGGCATGAAATCCTGAATCTGGAGATAAAAACGGTGTCCGAATTAAGGGAGATTTGTAGGCGTCGCGAAGCATTTCTCGCTGATGTCAAGAGATGTAGTGGGTACACTAAGGTTGTTCCTTTTAGGCGTGAAGTAGCTGAATTTGGAGATGAAATGGTAGATCTCCAAGAATCAGAACCTGAGGGCGAGGCAGAAATCGAAGCCTTTTCCTTGAAATGCTGGAACTGCCAAGGCGAAGGACATAGGTATCAGGATTGTCTCTCAGAGAGACGTGTTTTTTGTTACGGATGCGGCGCGGCTAACACGTACAAGCCAAGTTGCAGTAAATGTTCAAAAAACTCCAAGCAAGGCATATCGAAGTCGCAATACAAACAGAAGACTTCATATGCCAGTCGAAATCAGTCTACAATGACCGACCAATAGAGGACACTCTTCAAAGTGTATCTCTCTCTTCCCCAGACGAACAAATAGTCCCAGATAGCTCTCTGCTTCATAGCAAAATTTCAAAGTTAAGGGACGTCGCAATCCATGAAGTACAAAAGGTAGCTAACGTAGCTAAACGAAATTCACGAAGGTTAAAGGCTTTTTGGAAAAATGTGAAAAGATGCAAAGACAGTTTGAAACACATTAATTCCATACCCGCAGGAACTAGAGATCCTCGACCGTTTCTACCGGTTCAATTGCTCGATCGCGTTGTATACGGTTTGTTAGATTCGGGAGCTTCGATTAGTTGCATAGGAGAAGAATTAGCTAAGGAAGTGATAAAGAATAAGGAATACCGAGCCATAAAAGGCAGCGCTGCGACAGCAGACGGGAAATCCCAAAATATAGTAGGAGTTCTAAACATTGACGTAGAATACGGCAATGATAAGAAGCCTTTAAAACTGTGGGTCGTACCTTCACTCAAACAAGATTTATATCTTGGCATAGACTTTTGGAAGTTATACGATCTTCTTCCAACACATTTAAAGATTTCGGAAATAGAATCGCCTAAGGTAGCCCGCCCAGATGAGGTGGATCAACACGATTTGTCGGAAGACGAAAAAGCTAAATTGGCAAATACTATAAGTTGTTTTCCTTCTTTTACTCAGGAAGGATTAGGCAGGACAAATTTGATAACTCACACTATTGATGTAGGAATGGCGAAGCCCATCAAACAGCGGCATTTCCCTGTATCTCCTGCAGTCGAGAAGGCAATGTATACGGAAATCGACAGAATGTTGCAATTGGGTGTGATAGAGGAATCGGAGAGTGCATGGTCCTCCCCGATAGTGATGGTTACTAAACCAGGGAAAGTTAGAATATGTTTAGATTGCCGGAAAGTCAATAGTTTCACGGAAAAGGACGCGTACCCTCTTCCCCAAATAAATGGGATTTTGAGCCGATTACCGAAAGCAGAAATTATAACTAGCTTAGACTTAAAGGATGCTTATTGGCAAGTGCCTTTAGATGTTCAGTCGCGCGATAAGACTGCGTTCACGGTACCAGGTAGACCGTTATACCAATTTAAAGTAATGCCGTTTGGCTTATGCAATGCTACGAGCACCATGTCTCGTTTAATGGACAAGGTAGTGCCAGCTCACATGAGGAACGAAGTTTTTATATATTTAGATGATCTTCTAATAGTATCTGCAAGTTTTGAAGATCACCTCGAAGTTCTCAGGGAGTTAGCATTGCACATCAGGCGTGCAGGTTTGACAATCAACATTGGCAAAAGTCACTTCTGCATGCGGCGAGTGCGTTATCTAGGTCATATAATAGGTGACGGCGGAATCCGTACAGACCCAGAAAAGGTGTCTGCGATTACCAACTTTCCTTTACCAAAAAGCCTAAAGAACTTGAGAAGCTTTATGGGGATGTGTGGATGGTATCGGAAATTCGTGCCAAATTTTGCGTCTCTATCTGCTCCTTGATTCTAGCGCAATTGTGAAGTATCTAGACAGTGAACTGTTTATGACTTTTGGAGTCCCTGAAACGATAGTGTCAGATAACGGGTCCCAATTTCGGTCGAAAGCGTTTCGAGGATTAATGCAGGAATATAGCATTAATCATACTCTGACTGCTGTTTATTCACCTCAGGCTAACGCCTCGGAGCGTGTAAATAGGTCGGTCATATCCGCCATTAGAGCGTATATACGCCCGGATCAGAAGGATTGGGATGAAGTTCTGAACAGGATATCCTGTGCGCTGAGGTCTTCCATACACTCCAGCCTTGGAACAAGTCCGTACTACATGGCTTTTGGACAGCATATGGTTACCTCTGGTTCAACCTATTCTCTGCTCCGACGTTTAAATCTTTTGAACGATCGTTCGCTACGATTTGGCAGGCAGGATTCTTTCGAAATAGTTCGCAAACAAGCATGCGAGCAAATGTACAGAAAGCACGAGGAAAACAAGAAGCGCTATGATCTCCGTACTCGTAATGTCACGTATACTGAAGGTCAAGAGGTATATCGACGTAACTTTAAGCAAAGCTGCTTTCAAACTGGATATAACGCCAAATTCGGTCCAATGTTTGTAAAGTCTCGGATTCGAAGAAAGATCGGTAACCTCTACTATGAACTGGAAGACCTTCAAGGAAAAGTTGTAGGTACTTACCACGCTAAAGACATTCGACAATAGCTTCAGTCGGAATCAGTCTAGAGTATTCTCTCGATCATACCCTAGTCTGATTTTAGCGGGGGGGTTTTGTACTGGCGACTGAAGCCAAAGAAAAATTCAAATGTTTTTATATTTGGCGCCAAAGATCGTAAGCGTAGATTACCGATTAGGTAAACTTAGAGTTGCCATCCGAGATGCAGCTTCTTATCAGCTGTATGCAGGTATGCACTGGAAAGCTGTATTTACCTATGATGGCGCTGTGTTTGACTGACGTGTATTTCCGCTCTGGAATCTTAGGTTCTTTTCAATCGAACCTTCAGAGCAGAAAGACCTGTCCATGTAAGTTCCTTACCTTGACATGTGGGAGTCATTGCTCACACATGAGTTAAATTCTTTTTGGGTTATTTCTTTAGATTACCCAGATAAACCTGCCTAATCTGCCAACCCACCCAAGGAAGGAAGAAAAATAGGAACCCTTAGGAGTTACCGGCCTTGCCCAGGAAAATCCACCTCCACGTGGCTCATCCAACGGCCCGGCATCCAAGTGGAGCACACCCTGAGCCGGCCCAGCGATCCTCAGTGTCCCGCGGAGCGCCTTATTCATCCCATCGAGGGATCGGCAACTCCGTGGGCCAGCATTTTTTTTGATTGTGACAGTGGGCGAAAAAGCCTAGTGGGAGTGAAAAATGTGAATTTAACCTAAAGTCCCCAAAAAAACCACGTGTACACAGAGAAAAATATAAAACAAAAAACTATAATGGAACAAAAATATTAAATAATAAAGATTAATGCTTGCGAGCTATAAAAAAAAGAAAAAAAAAAAAAACGTGAACGAAAAATGTGCAGAAACAAAAATTAAAATTTATTTTTTTTTTGGTTATACCAAAATTTTTAAGAGTAATACACTACAAACAATGAAGTGGGAATTTAAATAAATAAACCTAAAAATATAATTCAGCTAAAACAGTGCTAAAAAGCAAATTATTGTAGAAAGAATGAATGAAAAGGTGAAGCGAAAACCTAAAAGAAGATGTTAAAAGAATAAATAGTTAAAAAATGTTATAAATAAAGAATAAGTTAAAAAAATGGAAAATTTATATAAATAAAGTTAAAAATGTGAAAACGTGCGGCAAAGAGAAATTAGAAAGGCTCCTCGAAATTTGAATTGCTAAGTTTTATTTTTTTATTTTTTATTTTTTTTTGATTTTTTTTCCTTTTATTTTTGTTTTGGTTGCTGAGTTTGGTTTGAAAGAGCAAGAAGCACTGAAAGAAAAGCTCTGATGTGTTACAAAGAAATTTAAATTATTTGCGTCTCAGAATTTCCCGAAAATTATGGGAAAAGCCCCCCAAAATTCCGTTTTCAGCACGCCAGCGCGGGAGATCGATCTTTCGTCATGGAAATGCAAGTGAGTTTGTTTTCTTAATTTATATTTACTTTTTACAAAAAAAAAAAAAAATGAGCTGCATGAAATTATCATTTTTTTTGTTGGTGTAAGTAACATTCTCACTAAAACGAATTTTGCAAAAAAAGTAGAAAGATGGAAAAAAGAAGAATCTAAGAACGGTTATATTTACAGCGAGCTTATCTTTTAGTCAGCGAGCTTTGGCTACACTGAGAGAAATTTTGGAATGAATTTTATTTAATTTAATATTATTGAAATAAAAATAATTAGAGATTAGATGAGAATGAAAACATGAAAATATTTTAGATAAAAGAAAAGTTTTAAATACACTGAAAAAATATGTTTGAAAATTTTTATAAAGACTTGAAAAAAAAAAATTTTTTTTTTCCTTTTTAAATATGAAATGAACAACGCCAATTAACGAAATAGATTAACTTTATTTTCGAATTTCGCCTGCCAAGATAATTGCCACGTTTGGGATAGGAATTTAAATTTTTGTTTAATTTTTTTTATTAATCAGGCCATTACTTTAATGATTTTAATATCTTCTAACATTAATACATTTTTTTTTTTATTCCTTAATATTTAGTTTTAAGTTATTGTTATAATTACTATATTGCTACCCCTAATTTTGAATATTTGATTACAATCTTTGGTTATAATTTTCTATCGCACAAAACAAAACATGTATCTTTTAATTATTACCTTTTATAACGTTTGAAAAAAATAATAATATAATGAATAACTAAACTTATAACTGAACCACGCTGTTGTTTCTCAGACCCTAGGATGTGAAGGGATCCTCAGAGCCATGCTCGAGCGGAGAGGGTCGTAGGTTGGGTAGGGCATAGAGCGTACACATTCCAGCTGTGTATCGCAACCTTTCTTTTTATTTCTCACCTCTTTTTCTTTCCCTTTCTTCTGGTTTCTCTGAAACGGTCCTTCTGTTCTTCCGGTTATCGTTTAGCTCTAGATATTTTTACAGTTTTCCTGTTTGAGTATTTTTTTGTCGCAGCACGCTAATTTCGATTTCTAATTAATAATAATGTGTAGTTGTGTGGGATTCTGTACGGAGCAAGACCACCACCCCCCAAGCCGACGAGCCCGAGCCGGAATAGTAAAGCGTGCCCCGCAAGTATAGAATCCCGGATTGATCACCACTACCGTTACACGTTACATTTGCGACGCAGAAAAAGATATTTAGCTGATTTGAATCGAGCTGCGTTTCGATACAATGATTACAGCTTTCATCCTAGCGTTTGCATTGGGCAAATGGACGTTGTTTGCGAGTATTGTGGTTCATTAAAGTTTTCCGGAGAAACGCCTGGATTATGCTGCGTTAATGGTAAAGTGAAATTGCCAGTGTTGACTCCGCCACATGAGCCATTGTATTCATTGCTTTGCGGCGAAACACAAGAATCACGCCACTTTCTTGCAAATACTCGAAAATACAATAGTTGTTTCCAAATGACGTCAAACCTCAAGGAGGTTTTAATCCGACATTTAAGGTATTTATTTTTGTACTTACATAGAATGTAGTTAAAGAATAACTTAGTTTATCTATTGGTATGTATTATACTACTCTCCTACAGAAAAAGTGTTTATAACCCAGTTAATACTGTCTGGTTTTTATTTTGTTTCAAGGATACAAGGACAGATTCACCATCGAATTGGATCATTACTACTTTTCGAAGATACACAGAATAAACTTTTACAAATATATTTCATGGGCAACATGGAAGAACAACTTGATCGACGCCTAGGGATCAATGCAGGAATGAAGCGAGCAATTCTTCAAGACTTGCAGTGTCTGCTTCATGAACATCATGCGTTGGTCAGGTTGTTTAAGAGTGCTTTAGAGCGCATGCCAAATGATGACTATAAAGTTGTCATCAAAACAGATAAACGACCATCTGGAACACACGAACGCACATTTAATGCTCCAACAGTAGACGAAGTTGCCATCCTGATTGTTGGTGAACAATTGGAAAAACGGAACTACATATTATGTAGTACATAATTCAAAATAAGATCATTGGAACAATGCATTCATTCAAATCTATTGACTGCGTCACAAATGAAGATGAAGCCACCAACTATCCAATTGAATTTTTAAACTCTTTGGACGTGCCTGGCTTACCACCGTACAATTTACGCCTAAAGGTTGGCTCTGTAGTAATCATGCTTCGAAACATAAACCAACCAAAACTGTGCAACGGTACGCGTTTGGTGGTTAGTAAATTGATGAACAATGTAATTGACGCTACGATAATGATAGGAAAATTCAAAGGTGAGGAAGTTCTCATTCCGAGGATCCCGATGATCCCAACCGATTTGCCGTTTGAATTTAAAAGACTTCAATTTCCGATACGTCTTGCATTTGCCATGACAATCAACAAATCACAAGGCCAATCCTTAAAAGTTTGTGGTTTAAATCTAGAACATTCATGTTGTTCCCATGGTCAATTATACGTGGCATGTTCACGGGTCGGAAGACCATCTGCGTTGTTTGTTTTTGCGCCTGATAATAAAACAAAAAATGTCGTGTATCACAAGGTGCTTAAGTGAAAAGCAACCTATGTATTAAAATACAGAAATAATAATGAATGATTAATGTAGTTATTTAATTTTATTTTGTATTTTTTCGAATAACATAAAAAAAAACAAGAAAGGAAAGCTAACTTCGGGCGGAGCCGAAGTTTATATACCCTTGCAGTTTAAACCGGATATATATCGCAAACATCGGATATAGTTGGCCGATCCCTATGGGAATATGAATATATAATCCAATTTATTACAATACAAAATCTAAAAAAAAGTCTCAAGCTTCTATCTTCAAAAATACCAAAGTTGGTATTTCTACCAAAAACCATTTCCGATCGTTCAGTTATAGGGCAGCTATAAGATATAGTCGGCCGATCGTTATGAAATTTGGTAGGTCGGATTAACTGACCAAGAATATAATCTGTACCACGTTCCAGCTTTCTATCTTCAAAAACGCGAAAGTTGGGTCATTTCCGATCGTTCAGTTATATGACAGCTATAGTATTATTTTGCCAAAAATAGCGCTCGTGTAAAATGAACTCGCTCGTGAACTCTCTAACTCTAAAAACACCGAAGTTATACCATTTCCGATCAATCAGTTATATGGCAGCTATAGGATATAGTCGGCCGATCCGGGCCGTTCCGACTTATATACTGCGTGCAAAGGAAAGAAGGGTGTGTGCAAAGTTTCAAGTCGATAGCTTTAAAACTGAGAGACTACTTCGCGTAGAAACAGACAGACAAAATTATAATACCCTCTGCAAGGGTATAAAAAATGCTTATTTATTGCCATTAAGGCGGAACAAAGTTCGCCGCGTCAGCTAGTAAACAATAAAAGTACGGCAATTACAATAATGTATAGTGAACGACATAGAAGAAGGCTTAAGTAGCAGCAAAAAGAAAAATATAAAGGAAAGTTAACTTCCACAGTGGGGAACGAAAATGTGCCCAAAGGAGAAGTGGAAATTATTAGAGAAAATTTACAATATGTAAATAATTACAGTGAAGCTAATTTTTTTGGGGAAATAATTTATGAAGACAATATTGACAATGAACTAAAGACGAAAAGAAACGACGGTAACAATAACTTAAATGACGATCTTAAAAAATGGTTTCTAAAACATAGGCCAACGCGTGACTGTGCAATTGATTTAGTTCGAATACTAAAAAAAAATAGTTTAGATGTCGGACCATTTTACAAATACAGTGCGCCTAAAAAAGATGAAATAATGCAAATGAGTAGTGGCCTTTATTTGCACATTGGCATTAAAACTCAGATTGCTAAGCTTTTGAATTTAATTAACTTTACTGAAGACATAACTATTGACATAAACATTGATGGAATTCCTCTATTCAAAAGTTTAAATTCTCAACTATGGCCAATTTTAATAAAAGTGACAAATATTACAAATTCTCCTATTTTCCCTGTTGGAATATTTTTGGGAAAATCTAAGCCCAATAATCTGGACGAATTTTTAAGCCACACAACAAAGAGTGAAGACTTAATAACTGACGAGGACTTCAAAAGTAGGAAATATTCCGATCATCACTTAAAACAATATTTAACAAAAATTACACCCCTTGAAACCGTGAATGTAAAAATGGTTTCCCAAATTCCACTAGACTGCATGCATTTTTTTGTAATTTATATTTTTTTTAGTAATATTTTTTGGGCAAAAATAGTCGATAATAATATTTTTGAGTTGGTATTTCCGATATTTTATGTTTGGTCACTCTTTAGCCAGAAATTATTAAGTTATCTTATCACGCCTGGAAGTACGGTTCCATCTGAACGGTTGG